TCTGGATATCAAGATCCTTCTGAATCATATCTTTCTCAAGAAGGACACGATCAGAAGCATCTCTCTCACGACCAAGATCTGCAGTGAGAGCCTCTACAGATTTCTTCAATGAGTCAATCTCACGGTCTCCATCAATCCTGGCCCGTTCAATCTGATCCCTCTCCCTAACAACATCAGTAATCGCTTTCTTTAGTTCTCCAAGTGTTCTCACCATTTCTTCCTTCTCTCCCAGGACACCATCGCGCTCTACTTGTATCCGTCGAATGTCGTCACGAGCCTCTTCATTGCTCTTCTCAAGGTCTTCCACGATCGACCTCAACTGATCCACTTCCTTTTGTTTCAAATCGATATCCTTACTAGCTCCTTCCCTATACCTGTAAAAATCGTCACTGAGCTGATCCAGATCTCTCTGCTGTCGTGTCAACTTCATCTCCACAGCTTCTCTCCGTCTCTCCTCATCTCTGACATTTTCTTCCATCTTAGCTTTGAGAGCAGCACTCTCGGCGCTCACTTTTTCATCCTCTCTCCGAATCCGGTTCTTAAGCCGCTCCGTTTGTTGGTGGAGTTGAGAAGAGACGAAAACCAGAGTAAGGCGCTGCTCGATCTCGGCAGCTATCATCTCATCTTCAAAGAGTTCCTTCTCGGCCATCAATGTCTGTTTCTGGGCAGCCGAGCGAGATATCTCCGACTCAAGGGCCTCCTTGGACTGAAGAAGAGAGTCGACCTGTTGCCTGCGCTCGACAGTCTCTTTTAGGAGAAGAGCATTAAGAGATTTCAAGCTGGCGAGCTTCTCCGAGGGATCCTCCTCCGCGGTATTACGAGGTTTTTCTTGAGGCTTCTTCTCTTCAAGGGACGGGGGGAGATCTCCAGGAGGCTTCTCTTGCTTCGAGGCCTTCTTCTTCGCCATTTGATATATTACTGGTTCGAGTTGCGAAGGAGGAACGACAAAAGCGAATGGATTGGACTTTAGAGATGAGAGGTAAGGGTTTTCTAGCTAGGGTTTCTGTTTTCTATATTTCTGGTGGAGAAGTGAGGCGTTGAAGATAAGAGGGAGTGAGAGTCATTTTCAAAAGTTTAAATGCTAAACCCAACGTTCGAGGACTTTCCCGGTGTATTGGAAACTCTCAGTGAATCCTTGAAGCACGGGAACGGTTGGTCCGACGTGATCGGACGAAACAGATTATTTTCCAGAAGGTAGGTTGTTGGGATTAATGACGTTCCCAATGCACACTTAGATTTAGAATTTAGATATTCTCATCAGAAGATTTTCAGGCAGCGGTGGGGCCCGTCTTTGCTGAACGCATTTATTTTCGGAGCTTCGGGAAAAACACATGGTTGGTCGGTGGGGCCCATTTTAGTCGTTGGAAGTTGGAATTGCTCCAGGCCGTACGAATTGTCCTGTGTCCTAAGTCCTCGCGAGATTCAGCGCCCCACATGCACATTTCAGCGTGCATTACTTGTGATGGGGAGATGTTACTAATAAACGGTCAGGATGTACTGTGGGGCGTCCATCTGAATTCTCAGTCCTCCCTTCCATTGAAATTATTGAGGGTTTTTTTTTTTAAATATATGGTTTTCCCTCTATTATTAAATTTCTTTTCTAACATTTGTATTAATTATTAAATGTTTAGTCATTTTTATTTAGTTTTTCTTCCTTGTTTGTTAAAATTTAAATTATTTTAACCTAATTTAAATATTTAATTAAATTTATAAATTTGTAATCTATTCCAGTAGTAAATAATAATTTTTTGTTATTCTTTATTCCACTTTCTAATCATATTTTTTTGTAAACACCACTTTTTAATCATATTTGATGAGGGCGGATTTGGCCCTCCAGTGACATCATGACATATGGCATCTCGGAACAACTAGATGACACTCAGGCACCACCTAGGCAATGACTTGCCCTAGCCAAAGTGATGGAATTCCAGATCATGACTCATCTTCGCCACCAACCTGGCGACCTCGACCACAACTTAGGGCAGCTAGCAGCATCTCGCCAGGGCCGACCTATAGCACCTCGTCACCAGCCTTAGTGATGTCAACGTGAGGAGCGACCTCCCTCAAGGGCCTATCGACCTAATTGAGGTCCAGGTGGAGACCTGCGATAAGTGCTCGCTGACCAATTCTACATGCATGACAAGTCACTCCCATGTCTCTCGGAAGTTGGCCCCCGTACCGAATGTTTCGAAGGAGACCGAGCAAGGCATGAAGACTGGTCTACATGCACGGCTACCTTCGAGGACTTCAGGCCGGTTAGGCACGACCTCCTAGAGATCTCAAACGCAAAGCGTGAAGCCCACACCAAATAACGCCTATATAAAGGCACTAACTCCAATGGCACAAGGTACACACGATTATTTGCATTCTAGCTCTCTTGCTATCAAGTTTACAACTCGCACTCACTAAGTATTGACTTAAGCGTTGGAGTGATCACACCGGGTAAACCACCCTAGATCGTCTAAGTCTCGTTCATCTTGTAGTTCGACAAACCACTCGACGTCCGAACTGCCCTCCAACTAGGAGCAACCAGATCGCGCACCATCAATATTATTAATCTCTATGGGTATATTTTTGTCAAGAAGTTGCCTGCTTTGGTCAAGAATCAAATTATAGGGTTGGAAGATGTAGATAAAATAACAGCACTCAAAGCTACTTATAAAATAGCTGTAGAAAGAAATTCATCTTGTCTTAAAAAATGTCTCCATCATGGTTCAAAGTACTGATATATATCGTGTCGGGAGTTTCCCGATGCGACCCTATAGGAATTGTATTGGGTCAGACCATGGTTCAGAAGAAAACCGAGACTTAAACCGACCCCTTTGAACTGGTTTTAAAAAAATAAATAAAACATAAAAAATCACCAATACAGGCTGATATGCCCTACTAGTGTATCGACGTATGTCGATATTTAGAACCTTGGTCTCCATGTTGATTTGCCATCTTGTGTAGGGAGATCATGGGCTGGACTTAAGCCGAGCATAGCACCTATGGTAAGGGGTTGCCGTGGCCACATTTTGGTTGATTTGTGAATCGAAGAGGTTGATTGTTGGGTACTTAGATACCCCTGTTTCAGTTTCATGATATACTAGCTTCACCCATCATCTTCAATCATGAATCAAATTGTGTGGAAAATATTGATTAATTATCCATAATTAATTAATGATCCAACTAACAAAAAGCTATTTTCATCAGGCCCATAGGCTGTATTTGGAAGTGGTGTAAATACAAATCCATACCAAGGAGTTTAACAATGGTCAGATTTTTAGTTTTTAGGTTGCATTTGGAAACGATATGCAAATGGAGTGTAAATTCCGGTTCAGGGTAAATTTGCACCCAGGTTCACTTTTACCTATGTTTGGCAACATTACATTTATGCATTGACAAATGATAGAAAATACATTTTCCAATGTATATTTACATTGATGATAGGATGTAAAAGTATATCAATAAAAAAGAAAGTAAATTTACATTCAAGAGGGCTTTTGATAAAGAAAATTGTATGTTTTATTGGAATTCGTGTTTGCATCCATTACTGCTAAAAGTCTGTTTGGTAAGAAGGTAAATTTGTCGGTCCAAAACTAACCCAACTTTACAATTTATATGAACCATTTTACACTCTACATATTTGCATTCACACTTATTTGCATCGTTTCCATATACAGCCTTGGAGTTTTTAAAAGGGAACCAGCTTTTACACCCATTTACATTCTTGCGTGTTTGGATGATCAATCTAAAAGTAACATTGCACTTTTGCTCACGTTTGGAAATGCCCCCTTGGTGTATTTTTTAGATCTATCTTATGTGATGATTAAGATTTTTTTTCTTATTTATTTCATATGTTTTTGTGCAAAGCCATGGGTCAAAAAGCGATCCCATTCCACATGGAGATGATTATTCCATCCCCATCATGCAGCTCCATTATCAAACCCAGGAAGATATGTATTAGCTTTATTTTCATACTTTCATATTTTTTGGTATAAAAAAATAACATCATTATTTTATCTTTTTCATGACATCCAACAACCAGGCATGGGATCCTCTTATGCATGTGTAACAAATAGGGAGGAGAAAATCAATGCGAAAGGGAAGTGAAAATCTTTTAATTTTGAAATGATATTTCTTGTTTTTTTTATGCATTTTTTGTTTAAACACAAATGTTTAATTGTAAACAAATTTCCATTAATTATAATATTGAAGTTTAATTTGTATTTATTTTTTCAAATGAATATTTATATGGATGGATGCGACAAATTAAGGGAAAAACAGGTGATAATAGGTGATGTAAAATTATTGAATATTGAGACACCTAAAAAAGAAATAAATGAAAAAAGCATTTAACTTTTTGGCGATGTTTGTAAACGTCATCAAAAGCAACACTACAAATCAGCTGGTGTTTTTAGTTGCAACTTTTAGTGACATTTGAAAATATCACCTAAAGTTATGCCAAATGACATCAGGGCTTGCAAAAGCTAAATTATTGTATAGGAAAAAATAAATTTGCAAAAGGTAAATTTTTTAATTAATCATTTTTAAGAAAAAAATATTTACTTCAAATAAGTAGAAATTTATGGATAATAATATATTTAATTTAATAAAATAAAATAATAAATAAATAAATTTTGAAGTTAATTTAATATATATAAATCAATTTTGTTGTTAAATAAAGAATACAAATCTTTTTTCTCAATTTCTGGGTTGGGCTTTGGGCTTTATATGGGGGTCGGGCTTAGGAGATCTAAGCCCGATGGTCTGGTCATGCTCAGGCTTGGCCTTGAATATGTTCTACTGATATAAACGCAAAGCCTAGCGTGGCCTATGAATAGGTCTAGGCCTGATGGTCCGGTCATGCTCAAACTTGGATTTGAATATGTTCAATTGATATAAAGGCAAATGTCACATTCCGGCATGACCGGTGAATAAGTTTAAGGGGACCTAGGGAAGCCATAGCCCCCATTCCACTTACATTTTGGTCCCCCCATAAATATTGGGCTCAAACCTACCTATTGGTAGCCTTAAATATAGGACTGTCAATGGTTCGGGTTTGGATCGGAACCAAAACCGATCCAACATGAAATGTTGAGGACTCAGATTTGGACTCAAACCCGATAGGGTTTGTAATTTTTGGACTGGAACTAAATCGATCGATTCTCGAGACAATCAGGTCTGACTTGACAAACCCAATAATAATAAATAAAAAATAAATATTTATGTATAATATATATTAAATATTCTATATATTATATGTATAGTATATATATAATTTATTATACATTATATATGTTCTAAATCGATAGTAATTGGGACCCTATATCAAGACCTAGAATCGACCTGTTGGTTATAGTTCTTGGAACTAGAACCAACCCAGTTAGTTCGAGTCCATCGATTTGTTGGGTCAAACCTGACCATTGACAACCATACCTAAATATTGGGCTCAAGGGGAGAGAATAGTTTGTTAGTAAATTATTTCTAAATAAATAAATAAATGTCTATTAAAATCTTTCTTTCAATGTCAAATCTCCTTTATTTTACCGATTTATAAATAATTTATTTACTTTTATTAACTAAATAAATTCTTAGATAATAATAATAAAATTAATTAATTTAATAAATAAATAAATATCTATTAAAATCTTTCTCTTAATGTCAAATGTCTTTTATTTTATTGATTTAAAATAATTTATTTAATTTGATTAAATAAATAAATGCTTAGATAATAATAAAAAATAAATGAATAAATAAAAGTTGAGATCAAGAATAGGAGGAGAGAGAGAATTAAGTGAGAGAGAAGAGGGATGCCATTTTATTTTGTAGGATGGAATAATCGTAAGTAATTATATATGGCATTGTTGTAGTTTTCGAATATCATAGAGGCATTGCTGTAAAGAGAGTAAATTGATCTTATATGTGGCATTCCTATAATTTTTGAATGCCTTAGAGTTAATTAAATTGGAAGGTTTGTATTATATGTGGTAGTCTTATAATTTTCGAATACCATAAAGACAATTACGAGTTATAAGGTTTGATTTATATGTGAT